TACTTTTGTTGTGACAGATGAAGACCATTAGAAGTACAAACTGCCTTAACACCAAGAAAGTAGTGAAGATCACCTAATTCTTTTATGGCAAATTATCTAGAGAACGACTAATGAAGTGATCAACAAGAAAAGAATGACTACCAGTAAGAATAATGTCATCAACATATAGTAATAAAATAAGAATATCAGATGATGAATGGTGAATAAACATGGAAGTATCTGACTTGCTGTAAATAAAATTATGAGCCAGAAGAAATGAACTAAAGCGATGAAACCAAGCACGTGGTGCCAGCTTCAAACCATAGAGCGCTTTGGTTAGCTTACAAACATGACGAGGATAATCAGGATGAGTAAAACCTGGAGGTTGTTTCATAAAGACTTCCTCATTAAGCACCATACAGAAAAGCATTTTTAACATCAAGTTGACAAATAGGCCAAGAAAAAGAAATAGCAAGAGAGAGGACAATATGAATAGTGGTAGCACGGATAACATGACTAAAAGTCATGATAATCAATGCCAGGCTGCTGATGAAATTCATGTGCTACAAGTCATGCCTTGTATCGCTCTACTGACCCATCCAAATTATATTTAATACGATAAACCCATTTACAACCAACTAAGTTCATTTGAAGTTGAAAAGGAACAGAACCCAAATATTATTTGCTAAAAGTGAATTAAACTCATCTGACATGGTCTGCTGCCACTTCATACCTTTTACTACTTGAGAAAAACAAGAGGGTTCAATTTGTTGAATCATAGTGTTCAAAGAAAATATTTGTTTTGGTTTAGAAATACCAGACTTTGAGTGCGCATGCAATATTGAATGAGCAGAAAGCATAAAAGTAGGAGGGAAGTAGTGCTAGTTGGCAGTGAGGTAGGGGCAGACGAAGAAATAACGATAGATGCAGAAGAAGAGAGAACATTAGAGCAATACTCAGTAGAAGAACTTGTGATGGACATGATCCGTGGAGCTGGATATAGAGCACGGGGAAGAAACTCTTGAAAGAGAAAAGAAAAGCAACCCTTCCAGTGCTCATTCTCATTCTGTTGCCAGTTGAATCTTTGATTTGTTCCCATGCATACCTATTAATTTTCCGCTGTTGTTTGTTTTTCTGTGTTTTCAAAATGTTGATTAAACTAATTGGAATGACAGGGCAGCACCAATCTAGAGGCAATCCAAATTATTAAGAAGCCTGGAGGTTCTCTGAAGGATTCATTTTTAGATGAAGGGTTTGTAACAAACTCGTGAAGTCTTTCTGGGCCAATTTCATTTTACTGTTACATTATTGGATTCCTCTTGCATGTCCAGCTTTTCTTTTGTTGCTGTACTTGATTTTCATTCTCAAAGCTTTTAAATCCTTTTATTTTAGGACCTATTCGGAGGGTATGTGCTCTTATTTGTTAAAAGAAATGAGAAAGTAGGCTGTTTACCTAGTGCAGTGTACTGTGAGTGTGCTTCGCATCTGGTGAAACGTATGTCTTCCTTGGGAAATTTTTTCTCGGCATCGAGCAAATCTCTGAAGAGTGTTCTTCAAGCCTTTTGTGTATGGTTGGCTAGAGTTATTGTCTTGTAGGCTTCTCATCTTGATAGTTATAAGGACTGTGTTTGGGGTTAGCTGGATCTAGTTGGGCATTCAGAACAAGATGTAGAGCTTATAATGTAGCTCTCTTGGCAGTTGGAACTTATGTGGCTACTTTGGAGGGAAAGGAATATGAGAGCTTTTGAAGGGGTGGATTACGACTTTGTGCCAGCTTGGTGCATGTCGTTATTTGTGAATAACTTTTGGTGCACCCTTGAGCTTCCTGTTAGTATATGACTGGAGGTCTTTCATAGAGAACCATATTGTTGGTTAGGTTCTCTACTTTTCGTGTACAGGGTTTTCCCCCACAAGGCCACAACATCGATAACTTATTACTCAATCAAAAAACGCAAAAGGACAAAGAGGGTAAGATGGACCCTTCTGTTAACAATGCTCAGTTTACCTCTGTCCCAAAATCAACCATACAACTCTTTAGTAGGATTCTTGATGGGGGATATTTTGTTTGTTGTCCTTTTCATAAACCTCCTTGTAATCTTTCTATTGCTGGTCCAAATACCTTCAAGCCAGACTCTTCTTGATTTTTCACATTTTTCCTTTTATTCCACTAAATTCCTTGTAATATAAGTTCCTTGTGTTCCCTTGTCTCTAAATCATTTCTTTGCTGCAGGTTTATTTTGGATAAAAAGATTGGGGTTGGCCAACCAAAACGTATTGAAAATGCTAAGATCTTGGTGTCCAACACTGCAATGGATACTGATAAAGTTAAAATCTATGGAGCACGTGTCCGAGTTGACTCAATGGCCAAGGTTGCTGAACTAGAAGCTGCTGAAAAAGATAAAATGAGGGAGAAGGTGCAAAAGATCATCTCTCATGGAATAAACTGCTTTGTTAACAGACAGCTGATTTACAATTTCCCAGAGGAACTATTTGCCGATGCAGGGATACTTGCAATCGAGCATGCTGATTTTGATGGTATTGAGCGCCTGGCTTTAGTTACTGGTGGAGAGATTGCATCTACCTTTGATAACCCAGAGTCTGTCAAGCTTGGCCACTGCAAACTCATTGAAGAAATAATGATTGGTGAGGATAAGTTGATCCACTTTTCTGGGGTTGAAATGGGTCAGGCGTGTACGATTGTCTTGAGAGGTGCAAGGTATGTTTTAGCGTCTTTAATCTTTCTGTCTTTAACTCCCATTTCTTTGTAGGAAGGAGGGTTAGGGAGGGGTCGGAAGAACGGTGTCATTTTGTCTCCAGCTTAATAGCTGTTTGATTTTGGTGAAGTGTAAACTACTTGATGCTCACAAGTCCTTGCACAGCATCTTTTCTCTTTTGTTGTTGAAATTTATAACACCTCAAGCGATTTCCGTCCATTGGGAAGTTAATATTCAATAAAGGCGTGTTTTACATCAATATCTCTTTGGTCGCGACATGGCCCATGCATGTGCTGATTAAAGAGTAATCTTTTGTGGTTTGATAGTGAATTCTGTTTAATTTTGTGCAATCTTTTCATGTGAACGCCTTCTCATATTTTTTCGGCAGCCCTCATGTACTGGATGAAGCTGAAAGGTCTTTGCATGATGCCTTGTGTGTACTGTCTCAGACAGTAAATGACAGCAGAGTTCTACTTGTAGGTGGATGGCCTGAGATGGTGATGGCGAAGGCAGTGGATGAACTGGCTAAAAAGACACCTGGTAAAAGATCTCACGCAATTGAGGCTTTTTCCCGGGCACTTTTGGCAATTCCGACCATCATTGCTGACAATGCTGGTCTGGACAGTGCTGAGCTGGTCGCTCAGCTTCGTGCAGAGCATCACAAGGAGGAAAGCAATGCAGGGATAGATGTCATCACTGGACATGTGAGTAAACCCACTCAGAATGTCAGATTAATTAATTATGCTATTTTGCAATAAGTTCAAAGAACCGGAGGAAGAATTCTGAAATTTTTCTGTTCTCTTCCTTTCCAGTTTTTCTGAGAAGCGATGTTAAATCCCATGCAAATGGTCAAATCTTGCTTGCTTATTGGGAGTTTGTACTTTGCTAGATTTAGCCATCATTTTTTTGGCATTTATGACAGGTTGGAGATATGGCAGAGTTAGGAATTTCAGAGGCATTCAAAGTCAAACAGGCTGTGTTGCTCTCTGCAACCGAGGCTGCTGAGATGATCCTACGAGTTGATGAAATCATCACATGTGCCCCACGGAGGAGGGAAGGAATTTAAGATGTGGTTAATCTGTTGAGGTGTTTGTATTCGGTCTTGTGGTTAAGATTTTAGGTATAACTGTAGATTAGCGTACAAATTATCGAATGTTGTTCGCTTTCATGCCAGTGTAAACACTGCTTGAGAAGTTTTGAAGAAACGTTACTGTTATGTTTATGTTTTTGTTAAGTTTTGATGGGTTTGATCTAGACTTGCCTATAACCGAATATGTTGTGCACCGGATAGCTTTTATGCCGCTGCTTCTGTGGTAGTCAACAGACATTGTGTCAGCAGAGGCGAACTTGAAATGGAATTGTTTTCAAGAGACTCTTGAGCGTGTTAAAAGATTTAATGAGAATTGTATTTTACGTGTCCGATTAAATTTCTACTCCCAAGTAATGAAATGAGGCGAAAGCTTCCTACTTGTACCACAGTGATCATTATGCATTTGCAACTATGGAATAACAATTTGGATCTTGTGTGAACCTATACACTATTTATTGGGAGTATGAAAATATATCAAAGTTGAGAAGAAATACAAGATCCATATAAAATCACTTCCGTTAGGGGCTTTAACTAAGTAGAACAGAGATTTCATAGTTATGCATGGGATTGGATCGTTGGCCTATATGATTGGTTTTATTAATGAATAGATTTCAGATATCACTTCAAAGCCAGCTGAGACAATATAGTATGACTTAATCCAATTTATCATTGCTGCATGATTGCACTGTTCGACGAAAAGCAAAAGAACGGGAAGGAACGTTGTATACGTTGCAGAAATGTTATCCAATGACTTAGTAAATTTCTTTGATTACATTTTTGTTTCCCTGGAAGTTCATGGCACTTCCATCAAACCAAAAGAAAAGCTAGTGTCTTACAATTTGAATTCTTTATATAAGTTATTTTTCTTTCTTTTATTTTAGCTTCAAATTGACGTCTTCATACATATTTTATTAAATAAATTTCGGACTAGCTCGCTGCGACCATTTCATTTTTTCTAATGGTGAACTTTTTCTGATACTTGGACTTTAAACCTTGCCAAGGATTTATCTGAAATAATCTCTCTACCCAGTGCAGTGATAAGGTCTCCGTACACACTATTTACTGAGTTGTTGTTGGACTTTAAACCTTGCCGCGATAAAGAGAACTAACAATAGACTTTCTCACTTTTACAGTCGATAACTGTCACAAAATACTAGTACGAGTATGCAATTAGTGGTTCTCCAAATACACCAATCATATAAGTTCTATATTCTTGGAGATTACTATGATTATAACGGTAAGGACAGCATTAAACAACTAAATAGCTTAGCAATAAGAATAATTTGTCCTAATACTACGAGCTATAAAACTGTGCTTGGACTCTCCAATACCTTAACCGAAAGAAAAAATTGCATCAGCTATAACACTAAGATAAACCTATAAGACAGCTTGGCATCTTCGTAATTTATCAGTTGTCACATCTTTGCACCTCTTGAAATGAGAATGTCCCCATATGGCGCCTCCTGTTCGACTTTTATAAAGTCCCGAGTGGCCAGAACTGCACAGAGAATGGAGCAAACTTTAACTCTCTTTAATAACAAAACCTGAAAACCAAAAAATTTCTCTGTGCTGCAATGCAGACTAAAAGAATTGAAAGGAATATATATACCACAAGCCTGATAAAAGAGACACGCTGCTTGTTTCTTTGTCATCCCAAGAGTTAGTTCATTCAGACATTCTGCTTTGGCTGATCCAGGAGTGTCAAAGTGACTCTTCAGCTGCCTGTAGACAATGTACCATGTGAGAAGTCAATAAATCAGCTGATTCAGGATGAAACTGGAGGGAGTTTTAGGAACTAATGAAAAAGGATTTACATCCTGATAGTGTCAGTCATCTTGTCAAGAGGTTGAGTAGTGAATTGATGTTGGGTTTGTGTTGGTCCAGTTTCCATCAACATCTCTGCAAAAGGAGTAAAGGCAGGTTTATGACAAACTAAACCACATTAAAGAAAATGACCAGAACTAAAATGGGGAAGTTGTTGAGTGTTCACAAACCATTGTCTGGTGTATAACCATTCTCTGATAGTTCAGATAGTCTAGCAATCTTGAAAGTTGGATCAGGATGGTGCCATTGGTACTCTTCTGCTACTGGTTCAAGGCCACTTGCACCGTGCCTCGATGAAGAATGGGGTCTTTTCTTGTTGGACCTGAAGGTTTGCAATTTTGATCAGTGTAACCAGCTGCTATACATACAGAGAAACCTTGGTAATAAAAAATTCAAGGTTAAACTTTCCTATGGAACCGGGACCTTGATATTCATTATTTCCTTCTGTTAATGTGAGTATGACTGGAGTAGTTTATCGTTGAACAATTACCGGCTTAATATATAGTATGTACTTGTAGTACTAACCGGTTTGAATTGGTTATGGAGTTCTGTGATAGGTAACCATGATCAGATCCTGAGCTTGGAATGGATCTAGGCTCATCACCTATAGATTCACACAAATAAAAGCTATACTACCATTACAAATTGCGTACATATGATGGGCATTGGAATATTCATGTAAATTCTACATACCAGAGCCAGGTGTGGCCATGTGATTGGTCTCATTCACTCCATTAACCTCTTTTGGATGCAGTCCGAGGTTTGTAAGATTGGTCCTGAGGTCCTCCATGAGATCAGGTGGAATCACGTTATTATTGACATTTGCCCTTTGTTTCTCTATGGAGATCCCTACTGATGGGGAACCTACACCAGTTTGGAACTCTTCCAAAGGCTTCACATTCAAATGCTCAATCAGAAACACTTGAAGCCAGTTGTCGTTTAAAACTAATTGAGAATCAGAAGTTCCTTACATATCTGACAGGTTCAAAATTGTGCATCCTTTCAGCTGGAGATGTGTAGGATGGTTCAGGAGGATAAGGCGGAGAGGTCTTTCCTGCATGTTAAAATGGAATTACCATCTGTTTGTAGTTTTTGGAACAGAGAATCTAAAATCATGAATGAAAAACCAGACCAGAAGGTGAATCATGGGGAGGTTGGGTACTTCGTAACCACAATTTTAAGAGTGGTGCTGGATAGTGAACTTCCCTATTTCCATTTGTGAGCAACCCTTCTAGTAATGCAATAGGAGGCACCTCCATGAGTCTGCCTATCTTCATAGAAGATGAGGCACTCAAAGTCTGCGCAGAGCAAGAACTTAAGGTTACTAATAAATGATTTTGCATCTTACTGAAGTTAAAAAGAGAGAGACATTTGTTACTCTTAGGATATTCAAACACTACCCATTGATGGCAGAGATAAACATACTTTGTTCGTAGGATAAGACCCATAGTCAAATTTTACTTGCTCAAGGTGTACAAAATGGAAGCAATTGAGGAGGGGACGATCTAGATTTGCACCTTTCTCTTTTTCCTTGTTCTTGATACAATATCTGAAGAACCCTGAAGCCAGGTATGATATATGTGACCAGGAATAATAGTTTGTTCATTGTCAATTGCAAGACGCGCTAATTTTCTTGCTCTTTGTCGAGCTGGCTTTGGCCTTTGTTGGTCCTGCTGTCTCTACAGAATCATGTTAAGACGTTGGATTAATACTGAAGGTATTCCATTACATTATTTCCTAACTCGGTTGCTTGTGGAATTTCTACCTCAAAAACTTCTTCAGCTTCAGATTGTTGCTTCACTTGCTCCTCTGGATGTCTGTCAGGGATCTCATCAGCTGCAACAAAATTTCTCTCTATTCAATCTATTTGCTAAATTAAGTACTCCATTAATAAGGAAATCTAGGGACTTTACAAGCTCAACTCAATCAAATTGGCTTTGTGCTTGAATGAACTATGCATGTAAACTGTAAGTTTAAAGTTAAGGGTTCAACAACCAGGTAGTCACAAGTATATTAGCTGATCTAATAGTAGGTAAGTGCGACTTGCATCCATATTCGTATTGGAGAGCAAGGTTTATTTCCATAATGTTTCTATCTGAAAGCCTCTCTTAAAGCACCAAGTGAATCATCTTGGGTCCATCTGTTATTTACTTCTCAAAAAACTTCATCCATCTGAAGTAGAAGCTAGTATTTTTATTTTAAAAAGAAAGTCTAATAAGCACATTCTTACGTTGATGGGCTTCTTGTCGGGGTGGAGATGGCACAAGAGTACTTGGGATTTGAGCTTCCTCTGGCTGGGTAAAATTCATTTGTGTTTCTTCATCCCCTTCAATATCAAACCTGTGGAATAATTCATGCTCAATAAACTCCCATGATTTGTTAATGTATAATTTGGTTTCACGTGAAGTCATTATTTTAACTGACAAAATAAACTTAGAAGGTAAATGGTGAAAGTTTTAAATAGAGAGCATTTTAACTGTTCCTCGGGATACCTCTCAAAATGATTAAACATATCTGAATCTGCCTGATGGGCATCAAAATGTTCAGCCAGGGTGATATTATCTAGATCAACTGCAACAAGGTTTTTCAGGGGTGTTCAGAGATAGGAGCAACAAGAGAAAACTGGAAAATAATAGTATATGCAAGGATATAGTTAGCATAGTGTAGGCTGATAGTGGGATCTACAGGTATACCTTGATGAAAGTCCTGGGCAGGTTCTTCCTGTGCATTGGGTTTATCATAGAGGTCTACATTATCTAGTCTCTGCACATACAATATCCAGGAGTTTAGCTGCAAATTTTATGTTGAAATTACTAATGATTATGTTGCTTTCGCTATATGTACTCGGCATCAGACAATTGCTTGCTCTTCAAGGTCATGAACAAGGACAAAATCCAAAATAACTTTAGATAGTCTCTCAAAAAGCTTACGCAATTCAAGAGTTGAAATAACAAAGAACACGAAGGAACACGAAGGGAAATCAAATCGCTTCATTAATGTTAACTTTCTACTGATTCAACTTGCAATATTGCTAAACATTTGAAATACCATTTTTTATCTGCATCCTATTTTTCCTATTAAAAAAATTCTGGTTGTGAAGTTATATCAGGGACTGAGGAGGTGATAGCGCTTTCCATTAATTTACCATCGCGAAATACGAGGTCTGTTCGAAACCCATCATTGTGACAGTGTCCGAATTTCGCATTGTCTGTTCAATCTCCGGGAGTTCTTCCTCCCGGTTTTCCGGCAGAGTAACAGCTTCATACCTGCGGGGGATGAAATGTTAACTATCAACCCTGGGAAAAACCACAAAACGAAGCAGAACATAATGTTTTGCTAGCAATCAAAATTTAATCAAGGTAAATGAAAACTGCTAGGTGCTAAAATGCGCCATTTCAATTTCTGATGCAAAAATACGCTGATGTTGAAGTGGAGATGAGGTACTCACTTGGCTTGCACTTTACTCTTGGGAAGCAACGTAGGATCGGGAGCTGCTGATTTCACCTTCCAAGCTTCATTGATTTGCACCTGAAAATTACCAAACTCACATATTACGTAATCACAAAAATCATCACCAATTGGACGACAAATAAATGCTGAAATTAACAAAAACAGAGCAAAGAGAGAGATTAAGTTGATTGGTGAATCGAAGACCAGTGTTACTACCATGAGACGAGTCACATCATCTGCATTAAAAAAACAACAGAAAACAAAAACGTTGAAGCAAGGAAGGAAAATTAGGAGTAAATTTCCAAAAAATCAAACATGAAATTCAAATAAAGATGATGATATTCATACCATAAAGGAGTTTCACTTTGCGTTCGTAAACAATGACGACTCCACCTGAGATATATACAACTGACAATTAAATCTCTCAAACGAAAAATTCAGTTACTCAATTCGTAAAACATACCCATGAGAATTCCAGAAAGTCGCAGAGCCATTGGGACCGATGGATTTAAGATTTGTTCACTGCGTTAAATGAAAAAACAGAAGAACTCTCGAAATCAACGAGGAATAAAGTGTTGTTTGACGTAGTAATTGAAGAAATAAAAAACGACTGACCAGATCTTAATAATGTTGAGCTTACTAAGCTTTTTCCGGTTGATCTTTGAGTGCAGAGTGGCCGCCATCCTTCACAGCAAAGAGAAAATTCATAAACAATTCGAATTAAGCATTCTTCGTAGCCAATTTTAATTGTGATAACTTAAACATATATGAAAAATTGAATTAAGGAGCTTAAAACAGGAAATGAATTCTAGCATAGAATTACAAAATATGGAAGTAAAATACGCAGAAACTCTAAACATGAAAAAGCTTATGTATGAGAAGCGAATTCAGAAAGGAAACATCATAATGACAAGTAGTAACTAATGATTTTCATCATATTTGGCCAAGCGGAGCTTTGCGAGTAAGAAGCTGGATTATTAAATTCTTAAACAACTCGAATTTAAGCATTTTGTTAAACAATAACGGATCCAATTTAAACTGTGACAGCTAACATATAAATCAAAGTGAAGTTCAAATTATGAAAGTCGTATGAGAGGCTACAGAAATTACAATATATGGAAGTGAAAAGTGAAAACAGAAAAACTCAAAACATGACGCTTATGTATGTGAATTAAACGAAATTAGAAAGAAAATATCGAAATGAGAAGTATAAATTGACAAATTATCACCATATTTGGCCAAGCGGAGCTTTGCGAGCAAGGAGCTGGTGAGAGTAGAACATATTGTAGTAGTGGAGAAAGAGAGTTCAGGCACTGAAATTGCAGAGAGAATTTGAAGTGAGAAGGTTTTGTATATATAGGCGGAGAGAGAGAGAGAGAGAAAGAGATCACATGCAAAGTGAGAAAGGGAAAGCGTGTGTGTGTTTTGTGCCTGTGCGGTTATCTGGATACCCGCCATAATCTGTTACGATTTCGATTGCATTTTTTGCAGAACCGCTTTGTGGTCCCCCCTTACAGAAGAAGAATGAATGTTTCTTTCATTGACTCGACTCGACTCCACTCCACTCTCACATCTCAAGTGATGGAATTTCTGTGCTATCATTCCTATCCACGCGCTCCTCTCCTCTTCTTCAACGCTTTAACGGGTTAAATTTTTATTCCTACTCAGTATTTACATCATTTTTAATGGATGAATCGCTTCACATTTTATGGGAGATTTATGTCCGAGCCTTGAAATCAAGAAGCTTTTGGCATAAAGTGCTTCACCTAATGGGCTATAAGGTATAAGTATTAAATTTAGAACTCAGTTGTTAACACTTGAAGTCATTACTCTAAAATTTAAAAAATTAAAATACTAGCTCCACCTCTGAATCTTTGAGAAAACCCCCCACAAGAGAATACAATAACTCACTTAACGTTACCATGAATAATGTTAAAGTGATGCATGAGAAAGTCATCCTTCATAAATTGATAGAATATAAAGGTCCACCAAACTCTATAGAGAATCAGGTTCTCTATCAGTTCTATTATAACACACGCACACTGCAGTAAGTATATGACAAGAGAAATTTTACGTAAAAAATTCCCAGCTCAACGGGATTAAAAACCACGGCCTGCCCTTGTAGGATTTCAGCTTCACTACTGAGCAACTTTTAGATTACAACCTATGCAATCTAGGAATTAACCTCTTAATCCCTCACTAACTTGTAATACTCTATTACAAGACACTTTGTAATAACTCTATTACAAAGACTTTACAACTCGACTAACTCTTGTCAAGACTCAAATACGAAGGTTTAAGATTTATAAAAGGGTTTCCTACAGAATAATTCTAAACAAGCTAAGTAGGAAAGACACTTGAAAACGATTACAAAGTTACAACTCAACTAAGGACAAACAATAACTTAATGTGGGAACTGGTCCGTAGTTGTTTTGTTCTTTGTTCTTGATGCACTTGAGAATTGCTTGCTGGATGATCAGTCACGTGAGTGAGCTTTAGTGAAATCTCTAAGTGTTTAAGTGAATGTGTTTTACCTCCCTTGATGTTAATAATACATGTGTGACCTCACATACAATGATGTAAGCAAGATAGGTAAAAAGCCTTCCACAGAAAGTTAATGCACTGTTCCTGTACTGTAGCGTGTGCAGGAAACAACTTTTCCAGCTGGAGAGTTGACTTGGTACAGTCACCTCGGGAACTGGTAGGGACCTGTTCCCTCAGCTGTTCCTTCGATTCTGAAGAGTTGAGCCATATCCCAAACTGTAACCTTTCGATCTTGAGATCTTGATAATGTGTAACAGGTTCCTTATCTGGTTCTTGATAGTAAGTTTGTTAGATCATCAAAACATAAAGCAGGATACTTGTAACTAGAGGTGTCAAATGAGCCGGGTTGACCCGGGACCGGCCCAGCCTAGACCGGTTGAAACCCAGCCCGGTACTTAGGGGGCCGAGTGGGTTGGGTTCTAGGGTTATGGGGGTTGGTCCGTTCACTTTAATTCATCTGGTTAATCGGACCGGTCAAACCCGGTCAACCAAAATTCCTGTAGAACTGGTTAACCGGCCAGGCCCGGTTTAACGGCTACATTTCATTTTTTAATAGATTTTAGAGTTTAAGGCAATGCAAAACCTTTGAATTTATTTTTTTTTCATTAATTTACTTGTTAAATGTAAACCTTTCAATTTGTAAGTTTGAATTTTGAAATAAATGTAGCACTTACAATTTATAAGCGGTAATTTTTTTCATCTTCATTGTATTCTTTATATTTTTGCTTTATATTAATATAACTTACAATGGTTATACAAAATATAAAAAAAATTAAAAATTACACTAACCCGGCCCGGCCCCTTGTACCCGTAACCCTTACGATTCATTTTTTACCCGGATGAACCTGAACCTGTTAAGCCCGGTAACCCCTAACCCGTAATCGGCCCGGTTTGAAACCCGGACGATTTCAACTTTTCCCTACCCAGCCCCGCCCGGCCTACCCGTTTAACACCCTTACTTGTAACCTATCAATTCCCCCTTTTTTGATGATGAAAAACTCATAATGGAAAATTGTACAAGGAACCATAAAGGACCAGATAGTGCACCAGGAACTTCAGAGAGTTCCCCCTGAATCTGTATTTCCCCTTAATCAGTGCACAATTATGCAAAAATCTTCCCCCTTTTGGCATCATGAAAAGATCAGAAACAGGCTTTTAAGCAATAAAGAAGTCTAGCTTTAAGTTATCTCGTGCCACTTATGTGCACACAACCATGACTAAAAACAGAGCATAAAAAACAATGTATAAATAGCAAAAAGGGAAAAACTTGAAACATAATTTAAATTTTTCAACAGGAGCAGAGTCAATGTTACTACCACATACACAAGTTAGAACAATCAACAAAAAAGTACCACAAATTATTATCATAAGAACTGACATAGAGGGACTTGACCACAAATGAGATCATAAACTTGACACTGAGGGAACACCATTTAGGGAGCATTGGAAGGAGAGGGATTACAGGCAGAGGCAAGGGTTTGGAGGACTAAAATCACTCGAGCATTTGCTGACATTTATTCATTGAGCAACCTCTCTTTTAGGTCCTCCACTTGTTTCCTGAGATCATCATTCTCTTTTGTCAGGCGAGCAACCTCTTCACTTTGGGAGCAGTTTGTATACAGGAAGGATGACCTTCTTCTGAACCTGTTCCCCCTGCTGAGCTGCTCTGTCCTTCAAGATTGCATTTTTGAAGTTTTGAGAACATGTGCCCGGAACACTAGACAACCCTTTAGCAAGCACACCAAGAATAGACCCCAACAAGGCAGAGTCCATTACCATGTCAACTCCATTCACCAAGGCACAACTGTGATCATCCTCAACCTTGAACAAGTCGGCATAGAAACTTTGAACTTCATCCTCATACACCCTAGTAGCATCACTCGTGAATAGGTGTGTCCACTGTTGGAACTCACAGATATCAACCAATTGTCTCATACCAGCCTCTTCCAAGATATCAGGGGCAAATGTGTGGCCCTAAAGCACCTTTTGACTTCTCAATCTCTCTTTCTCATCACTCCTTGGATTATCAACTCTGGCCTTCTTTGAGGAACTAGGTTCCTCATTAGTATTAACTTTTCTCTTAGCAGACTTGTGAACATTCTTCCCTTTGTCACCTGACTTCACAGATTTTTCACCCAATTCTTCCATCACAATAGCATTAGACACTTCCACAGATTTGTTTCTAGATTCTGTTACCACATTTTTACTAGTAGTAGCATCATCGGACTTATTCATACTTTTAGCAGACACAGAATATCCCCTTTTAGGCTTGGGGAGACCCTGCTTCTGTGAGAGCTTTCTAGTCAAGGAGCTAGGTTCCTCAGCTTCTTCCTCATCCACATTCACAACACCCACTACCTTCTCATTCACAACTTTGCCATCTTTTACTAATTTCTTTCTCCTTGACTTAGCTTGACTGTTCTTAATCGCAGACTCAAGAGCCTCCTTTGTTTGCAACCTTGTAGTGGGCCGCTTAGGAGTTGGCCCTTCATCAACAATTGATGTATTCTAGGCAAACTGGCAATTGGCAAATCATCTGAATCCCCTTCACTATCCTCCCTTTGTTCTTCAAACACAGGTCTTATCTTAGGCACAACCACATTCAGATGCTCAACATCTAAATTAGGAGAGGGAGCAGGGTCAGTACCGTCCTGGGGTTCCTGAGAGGACCCCTGAGTTAGATCCTCTGAAAGGGGATCAGGTCCTCCAGTAGGTTCCTCAGTAGCACCTTCCTGTGCCGATGGTTCAACAACTACAACCTTATTACCCTCTCCAACAGTCTCAGACTCTTCTATCTGAGTTTTAACTTCCTTCGACAAAAATCCTTTCATTAGCTATGGACAACATATTTTCTATAGCTTCCTTTTCTTGTAAGTTCGTGGGAGTCTCAAGAGAAGTAGGAGTGTTACCTGTGGACACGAGATCAGGAGCAGTCTTTGTTGCGTCAACAATTTCAAACCCCTCAGTTTGAT